TTGCTACTCGGAGACCAGGGGGCATCCTTTTCAGCAGATAGTCCTTAGAAGAGAGAGACCAGTCTCTGTTCATACTCATTGTGAAAAAGAAACAGAGCAGGATAGGCGGTCAGATGTCAGACCACATCAAATGTGTTTTTCACATTGATCTTTCTCATCTTCCTTCTTATAGGCTGATGAAAATGTCATGCAACCATTTCCAGTTTGTGATTACATCAGGGACTGAACGGTAAAAGAACAACAACAGGTGTACAGTCATAAGTTATTCTGTCTACGATCTTTTATTGATTTAATGCTAAAGTCCCTCTATACAACCATTATGTCTAAAGCTGTTAGTCAGATCATGCTGCAGTATCCTGCATGGAGACCTTTGGGATTTCAATTGTACATTAAAACCTTATTATGGTGCGAGAACATCAATAACGCTAAAACCGTTGGACTAATTTTTTTGAATGGCTTTTTAACAGGTCTCTGAGCTCAGTAAATGCTTACTACTGTAAAGTATGTCCACATAATCTACTAATAAACCTTTAGAAAGATCCCTTATCAAACTTAGACAGCATATATTACATGGTGTCTGGAGTATTTGTGTTTTCAGCAGTAGAACAGAGGCGCACATTCTTCTATTGACTACAATAACACTGGAATACAGTGTTGCAACTTAGATTCAGTATAACATAATTTATAATGTCTGGAGAAACAACTTTTTGACTAAACATCGTAGATATACAATGTTACTGCGCCCTCTACTGCGCATGCGCGACACTTTCAGGTCGTTTGCCCGTTCACACCGCAGAACTCATACAGGTCGCATTTACTGGCAGCATGAACGGCCCCAGCAAAAAAAAAAATCGGAATTGACAAAAAAATCGGAATTGGGTCACTTCAGGCTGCAGAGTAAACGCAGCCTTTGTTTTATCTGACCACTTCTTTCAGTAATGAGTAATCCAATGCATTGCTATTTCAAATCCAGTAATCAGAATAAAGTTACTTATCCAAATCACTGTGCGTCACTATTTTAGCCTAAAGTGTACACTCGGATGTAATTTAAAGCATGCTAAATTGTTTTGACATCTTTTATCTACAATGCCTACTTTATCACAGTTTAAATTTTAAACCTCATGGGTTAGAAAACAATGATTCACATTTTTTCCCACATCAAAACCATACCAAATCAACCACATTGATTTAGTTTGGATGATTCACCATCCAAACTAAATCAATCTTTTGAGAGCAGGATCAAAACTATATTACTGTTGTCCTCGAACATATCCAGTAAAAGTTACTTTGAGCCAACTCAACTCCAAAATAAAACAAAAGCACCAATTTGGCTTTTACATATAGGGAAACGGTTCATTAGCCAGCAAAAAACCAGGAAAAATGCAACCAAAAAAATCTGTATGACCAGTAATTTGAGCCACTGACAACTGACCAGAGTACAAAAATGTTCCTGGCTGAGCAGTAAATACCAGTCTAATAGGAGAGTCCACTCGTATATGATCCAGCTAAATACCAACACATCAGACTACTGTCCAAACAACCGGGGATAGAAAAGTCATTAAAACAGGTTCAGCATCTCATTCGAGATAAAAATAAATACAATACATAAATGCATGAATATACTGGTATTTAAAGCAATATGAGACGTAACTATTTGAGATGACACAGCTGTAGAGACAGCAGTGCAGAAATCACAATAAAAGCTCTTTTGCATGGAGCAAATTATTCACCTTTTGTCAGTGGCATTATTGATGACAATGTTCATCGTCTGTCTTTTTCAATAAGGTCCTTTTTTTATATGAAACTAGAGGTCTGGAATTTATTTACCAGTTCCTAACATACAACAATCCTGCTAAGTCTGTCAGCCTCAGGTGTGCAGAAGCCTGTCAAACTTGTTTCTCCCTTGGAAGACTACCAACCATGCTGCAGCCTTGCTGTCTTCCACATTCTGGTCAATTTGCTTAATTTGTTTCAAAGTTGCCATAGTGCTGGTTATCATCTGATAGGCCGAACACGCAGTAATGTGTTTTGAAACATTCTGAAAAATGTGGCTTCCTGTGAATTAGATGCAGATGGGGAAAGATTGCAATGAAAACCCATATTGATATGGGCTGTAATTATTTTAAAATCTCATGTGGCTTACATCTTCAGTTTTTGTATGTCAAAATATAATCTAATGCTGGGCCATGACTTACTTCACTATAGCAATCTAACTGTCACAACATGACACTAAGGACACAGTGTGTCATACCAATATGCAGTCAGCAGTTTCCACACACCATTTGGTCCCAAGATGTCATTTGAAGCTAATTTTACAAGTTTGGATGTTGGGAAGTCAAAAATACCAATGTACAAAGTGTTATTCATATAGACACTGATGAAAAATGAGTCAGCACTAGAGCAAATAACTGCAGGGCAAAAACCAGGCAGGAGAGGCCCAATTTCAAGATGTTAAATTGCAAAGTTAAATTTCTTAAGTCATATTTGATACATACTGCATATTTATGACAACTGAAGGTGACATAATTACTTGATTGTGGTATAAAATGATAACCTGAACAATGTTGAAGATCTGGACTCAATCTAGCCAACAACGAAAGGCTAACGGCTCAAGGCTAACAGCTAAGTTACATTTAGTGCTAAACCGTATTCATACTAACAGTTAAAACGGACATTTTAAAAGCTAAAGACATACAACAGCAGCCAAACAATGTCAGTGAAAACATTTGATTAGTAGGAAAATTTATTAGCTATAATAAACTAAATAAAAAATCGTGCTATGTGAATTCAGGTTAGCTAAAATCACTCTTGTTACCTTCAAAATTTTGTAGCACTAAACTGGATAAGTGTGAGAATTTTTGTTTAGTTTTGACTTAGTTTCTTTTGTGTTCCAGTTCTGTGACTCTGAATGTGGAGATGTTCGGTCCATCTCACTCTGTGGTCATTAGTACTGAAGGCTGAGGGCTGATCTAGGCCCAAGGGATTAAACAGAGATGGATTCTCTGTCCTGACTGTGTCCAAACAAAGAGACTGGTTCAAGAAATAGAATCTATTTGTTTGCACTCATGTCTTTGCTGCTACTAATTCTGTATATAAAAGCTTTTTTTTTTTTTTTTCCTTTATCTGAGTTTTTGAGTTAGGTTTTGAAAGGATATCTGTCTGGTTCATCTGTTTGCATGCTTTATCTAATCCTGCACCTGTTTTTTACTCAAACAAGCTTTGCTGTAAGCAAATCCATTTCAAATCCTGTACACCTGTTATGCTTGTGCACTGCTATGTATGTTTAGAAAAAACAATACATGGAAATTATTATCATACTCTTAATCCTTATGTAGTTTAATATATTTTTTGTAAAGTTGTCATGTTCAGTAGGTCTCATCTTGTCACTGTTCGGCCAGCGTTATTTGGCTACATTTACAGTCTGAATGCCATGGTGTTGCTAGAACCCCTCAGTAAAGGTTTAATGCATACACAGAGCCAGGTAGCTAAATGTCAGTGACTTATGTGCACAGTTGAAATGTGTGTGGAGGTTTTTCAAAGAAAACATTTTGATTTATCTGTCAATCAGCCAATGAATGAAACAGTACTTGCTTTTGTTAAATCTGCTAAATAGGGTTTTCATAACAAAAATGAAGAAAAGAAAGTCAAAGGCTACCTTATCAGGGTATGTAGTATACTGAAGTGTTATATTTGATTATGACTTTGTAAATCACACAAGAGTAGAGGTGATTTGCAAAAAAATAAAATTTACTTTAACTTTTATTAAGGTTGTAACTTTTTTTTGTTATTTTTATCCATTATGTTTATTATTATTATGTTTATTTGAAATTCTGAATCTATGTGCAAAGACAACATTCTAGGCCTTGATGCATAACCTAAAGATGTTAAACGAGAATATTATCTGTAAGTCAGTCATATAGAATTAGAAAGTTTTTTTTTTGCAAAAATGTCAGTGTTGTTATAAACAACGCCTTGTGATTAATGTTTTGATATTTGGTCAACCTAAATATCAATTTATTTAAACTCCCCATATCTCTTATTTACAGTAATAACTTTTATGAAGTTTCTCTGTTTTCTGGTGGTCCTCAAGCCTTTTATGTTGTTTTGTAGTTATTATTAGCCTCATGTTTGAGCACCACAGCTGGTGAAATATGACACCAGTGCTCACCAAAGGGCTGCCTGATGGGCAACAATGAGAAATAAACATGGTGGACTCAAATTTACAAGAGCTTGAATAAGATAGCATGTTATTGTGAAGCCCATAGAGTGGCTCAGTTCCTGTTGTGGCTTGCAAATGAGCGGCATAGAAACAGCCATCGGGGGGTTCATTGTCAAAGTGCAGCACTGACCTCAGGCCTTCAGCATGACATGCAAAAAAAAGATGGCAGTAGACAAGAGTCCCATGCTGCTAGCCTTTCACAATAACGTGCATGAACTCAGCAGTTCCCAGTAAATATCAGGGAGCACATAATATGTAATTTGCAAATATAATTTTTTTCAATGCATGGAGATACTTTGCACTTGCAGATTGTAGTACTAATATGGAAAATGTTCTATTTGAAGCTTGAACACAGGGAGAGCGATCAACGTGCCAAATGAGTTTCTCCTTGAATAATGCTCAACTGTACTACCTAAGTTGGCATTTTGTGTTATTTTGAGACAATTAAAAATATTTTCTTTTGTCTTCAAAGAACTTATTTGCTCTTTTTTTTTTTTTTTTAGTTTTTTAAGAGCCATAATAAATGTAAACATTTGGATTACTAAAACAAGTGCCTGTATTCTTAAAACTGTTTGGTTAAAACCAGTTTAAAGTTGGTTTAAACTGGCCTCTGTGTAATGTTAATGGAATAAGTGCATTGAAAATGGCAACCCATGAAATTGACTAGCAAAGAAGTAATACTTGGGTGAAACTTATGATATTTACTTTACTTTTATTTTTGCAATAGAAGTCCTAAAAAGCTGTGAAGTATTTGTATAACTTGGACTTCTTGTGTTTACAGGGAATCAACATTGTTGGACCTAGTAATGCAGAGTCTCAGCCTCATCTGCCTTGTCCAGCCATGTACCAATTGGATATTGTCTTGAAGAAAGGGAAAAATCTCGCCATTCGTGACCGAACAGGTAGGAGATCTGCTCAGTTTGTGAAGTGAGGTTAATTTAGAAGGACACCGTGAATATCTTTCCCAAATCTTGTCATCTGGCCAAAGGACAGTGACTCTGCCATTGTCTCTTGTCAGTGTGACAAACAGCAGAATGGCAATATCCCCACAAAATAAAGAAACAGACAGTTTTATCTTAAAAAAAAAAAGATAAGTTCGTATACTTTTTTTGTCCATTGTCAAAAAGTCAAAACAAATGTTTTAAAATCTAAATTTTAAAACATTAAAATTTAGATTAAATACTCTATTTAATCTAAATGTATTTAATAATTAAATAAATAAATACATTTATCTAAATACATTTATTTAATAATTAAAATTTATTACATAAATATGATAAATTATATTTATTTAAGCTGAAAACTGGTTTCAGAGAAATGAGACCGGGATCTCTCAGAAGATAATAAAACAATGTAAAACCTCCATTTCAAAATGGCACTCTTTAGTCACTTCCTGTATGTCAATTGCTTCCTATTAAGTTGGATTTCTTGTAGATCAGTCCATTAAAACCCTAAGTTAAGCTTTAATTATCCAAGGACTATGTTATATGTTACGGCAAATCAAAACAAAATCACAAGTTATAGCAAAAACATGTAAAGAAATTTTCCTTATTTAAATTAACATCTGCACTCAATGTACATTGTAACTAATGACAGTTTTATTAGCAGCTTCTGCAGTTACTATGACAACAGCAAAAAAAAAGGCTGCTCTGCCCTCTCCTATACATTTTTCATCACTGCTTGTCCACCTAGATAATGAGCAGTGAGGTGCAGAGGTCACCTGTTCTGTCCTGAGTCCATCGAGACAACTTATTATGGAGAAAAGAAACAGATAGACCCAGACCAATAGCAAAGACAGACCTTTAGCAGCTGAAAAAAAAGAGAAGAAAATCCATCCGGTTACCCACGGTTCGAACAACAGCAATTAAAAGCAGTTTTGTAGTTGTTTCATCCAGCTCGCCCCCGTACGATTCGATTTCAAGTTTACAGCCCTGCTCCCTCGCCTTAGATTTCTGATTGCCTCCTTAGAAGTTGACCAACTTGACCAAAAGCGAGCTGTCGGCTTCCCCTTGCTAAATAACACATATTAACTTGAGAGTCTACTTGTGCACCACACTGTTTGATTGTAATACAGCCAGGACATGGAGATTTTATTTTGCTGTGTCACAGCAAATCAAAGAGGTAAAATAGGAAGGTAGATTTTGAATACATTTACTGGTTTACTGGTTTAAGAAATTTCTTGTTTTTCTGGAACAAATTTTTTTTTTATTTAAATAAATTCCTTATAGGTAAAATTACTTGCGTACATCTGATGAACATAAGGAGAGGCAATCAGCTTTCAACGTCAAGGCACATATCTGTAGCTCAGCCTTGTGCTTAAGATGGCTAAGCTACTGATACATTATCTGCCTGCCATGTTCTGTTTTCTACTGCTCAAGAAGTGAGCATAAGAAAATCCTTCATCCCCTCTTATTTATATCACTGTAACATGCATTTTTCAGTCTCCCAGCAAGATCATAAGCCATTTGCCATCAGCTTTGTTGTTTTGCTGTTTGTCGTTTGCATTCCTAAATAACCAACATTTTAAACATTTTTCAAATGATTATGTATGACAAGAATGACAAGAAATAGATAAGAAAGATCAATCCAAAACTGTCTGTCCTCGGGTTGTTTCCTGTCATTCTCTGCCTTTTTAAATTTACGTCTAGAGCTCATAAAATTGCCTTGAGTCATAAAACGGAGTAGATAAATTGTAGCAGGAGGAGCATTATAGTTGTGGCCTTTTATCTAGAGAAAAACATGAACAGCGAGTGAGTGACTCACATTTGTCGTGTCAGGCATCTTCTTTAAAATGTACCTTAGATCTTATCAGCAATATCCTCTCGTTTCCCCAGAGCCCTAACCCTGTCTTAGCTGTCATCCCCTGGATAAAAACAGATTACCCTCTGTGTGGCCCACGTTTTCAGTAAAACACCACATGACGAAGCTTATCACTAGTTTTTCGGTTTTCATTCTTGCTGTTCATTTGTGTATATGTGTGGGTGGCTGAGAATGTAAACCTGAGGTCCCCAACCACGTTTTCATAGAAGTCCTCCTGCTTGTACCTGTAAAAAAGCTGACAACCCAAAACACAACGTAAGTGGTTCCCATTTTTAAAAATTTGAGGTGCTTAATAATGAATCAGCTGGGGCTGGGGGAAGCACAGTTGCTCAGGCACGTTATATGAAGTCAGACGTCTGGATACAATGCTCAATGCTCATAAATGCTCAAGATAGTAGTGTCTGCTCCTGTAAATGTAGTTCTGGTAGTTCTCTGTGTCATGGAGACGGTACCAGTGAAAAATGTGGAATAAAATCCAAGCAATGGGGTTAAGTGGGTCTATATAAAGTGCCTTATAAAATGTTCAAACCCCTTTGGCCTTTCCATTTTGTCAAGTTTCAGCTACAAACTTATATTGATTTTTATTACAATCTTATGTGACAGACCAACAGAAAAATGCACATGGTTTTCACATATTTTTACGTAGTAAATCTAATAAGATTCCTGTGAATTTGTATCACAGTCTGTTAGGGTTAGGGTTAGGGGGTTAGGGTTTTTGCATCTAAATAAAGTAAAAAGCATCTTGATAAAAAGTTAGGATGCATCTGTTTGCACTTTACTTTCAGAAAAGATAAAACGGCTTTGCAAAGGTCAGAGTTTTTCAGTGAGCAAACTGCTTCAAGAAACCTACCAGACAGGCCAGAGATAATGTTGTGGAGTAGTTTACAGAAGTATTATGTTATTGAAACAAACTCCCAAGCTGTGAATATCTAAGGAAGCACTGTGCAAGTCATCATTAAACATCGCAAAGAGTGCGTTTAACTGTAATGTTAAGTAAAGATGGGCATTCATTGGAGCAGCAGCCATGAGATCTGTGGTAGTTCTGGAGAAGCTGAAGAGCTCAGCAGGGCAAACCTATTGACCAAACAACTTATGCTGAAGCACTCCTCAAATCTGATTTATATGCAAGAGTAACACTCGAAGCACACCCTTCCCTTTGTACAATACGGTGTTAGCAGCACCGTACTATGGGAATGCTTCTCCTGAACATGGACAGTAAAGCTTGTTGGCTAATGGAGTTTGATACAGTGTAAACTTTTTTTGAGAACCTGACAGAGAGTTTAAAAGACTTCATACTTTACGTACAGGCATACGTTAGCCTTTCAGTCACTGCCAGAGCTACAATGGAGCGACTTACTCCTGTGTGAAAATGACATAGCCCAGGCCAAATGTGAAACACATCTTGACTGAGCCTTGTCGTTGCATGTACTACTAGAATTTACATGCCACATTTGCATGCCACACTTTTCCGATGTTTTATTGTAAAATATTTGAAAGCCGTTATTCTCCTTCCCCTTTAAAATGACGTACTACTTTGTGTTGGTCTTTCACACAAAATTCCAACACGATAAACTGAAGTTGGTAATGTACCATTACTATGGAAAAATTCAAGGGGTGTGAATACTTTTGCTAAGGTTTTAGACCAGCACAAATAACTACTTTGTAATAAACTATGAAAGGTGTTGTTGCATTCAAAACAAAATGACTTCATTCTGGCCTCAAATCAAAAGAAAAACATTTTGATTACGCCGGGTTTTTTGTGTTTTCTTTCGCCGTTGCTTACACATTATAGATAAGTGACCAAACTCTTTACCCATCCCATATACTTTCCTCTCCTGATAGTGTTGTACAACTTCATTCTCTCTCCACAAAAATAAGAGGAATAGCAGATGCAAAACTTATCCTCAAAATAAGTTTTGAGTTGTATGGAAAGCTATAATTAATTGGCTTCAATGAGCGATTTTTACAAGCTAAAATTAACAGTATTAGACGGATGCATACGGATTCACACACACCGTTGTTCTGCTGGATTGCATCTGTAGGCAAAATGATTCTAAGTGCATGACTGACGCATCTCTGTGCTTTTCATTGTGCAGAGTTCTAGTTTATCTCATATTCCTTATTGAGTTCTTGTCTTTTTATTAACTGAATAAGCATTTATCCACTCAAAAGTATGATGTATTTTTGTCTGAGCCAAGGCTTTTAAAAATAAGGTGTTCTGATTTTGTGACTGTGCAAATTCTATTTTTTTTTTCAAACTTTGTGCTGTAAAAATTTCATGGACAAACTGGGATCCTTGATGCTCATTGTTGAAGACTGAATTGCTGCAGATTGGGTGTGCAAAATTGTATTTGCCTAAAATTACGGAAAGATCAGAGAACAAGAATCCCTTAGCTTTGGTTTTGGCATTAATCATCCTCTTTTGTACTTAACCTTGCGTGTAATTTTTTTATTGATACATGCTTTGAATTATCTTAATTTTTCTTTATGTTCTGTTGAGCTGCAGAAAGCTGGAT